AGTTGGTACTTTGAGGGGTCAAAAGTGAAAAATTCTCAAATTTCTCAATTTCACAAAAAAAGTGAATTTTGACAAAATACGTAAAAATCACAAAAATTCGCAAATTGTTTTAAGCTAGAAATTCATAAAAAAATTTCTTTTTAAATCTAAGATTTGAATGTTAAATACAAGATTACTTACAAATTTGTCAATCTTTATCACAAAAAAAATGTCCACCGGAAATTCAATTTATATTTATTAGCATTTGAATTTCAAATATTGACAAAAATTCGTTAACCATGAATATTTGCAAATTATTTTGTAGTTCAAAATTCATAATACTTTTTGTATTTATATCTAAGGTTATAAAATTCAACACTAAATTTTCCATAAGTTTTGCTTCAAATAGCTATGGAAAAAATCATTATAGGAAAAATGTTTTGAGCGTTTGAGTTTTAAATTTTTATGAAATCGCATAATGATAATGATCTATATCTATGATAATATAAGTTATTATGAAATATGATAACTATATGCAATGTTTTTGGAAAAATTGATTGACCATGCCTTATGCAAAATGCGTCTCAATTGAAAAATAAAATATTTGTTTCAAAATAGAATATGACAAATATTTAAATATAATATATCCTAGACTGACAAATCATCTCCGTTCAGAATCGTTTTTCGTATACAATGATACCTATCATTGCATTCAAATCTAACCTACCCTAGCCAGAGGTCCACGACACCAACTAATGTACAGTAGAGCGATACCCACTTTCCCGAGTTTTACTTATCAATTTGTTGTATTAACAGATTGACAGTTGCATAAATTAAATTTAAATATTTATGATTTTTAGCTAGCCAACAACTATCAATGTTAGAGTAAAAATACAAAACTTACTTATTATCTAAGTACCTACTCATAGAAATAAAATTATTTAAAATAACATATAAGAGTCATAAATGTTACATAACAAGTCTTACATGAGTAATATTTTATAAATATTCAAGATCAAAAATAMATTTAAATATATCATATTTAAATATATCATAATATCATGGTTTTTTTATTGTGAACCAGTGAAAATCTTGTTAATTATGAGCAATTTTAAAATAATTTTCTTTCTTAACTTTCTAGGTTTTACTATTTTACCCTTTATTTTATAGAACAGGAACAAAATAAAAATAAACTAGTTATTTATTATAAATTTCACAATGGCTATTTTAAAGTTTATACTTATTATATTTTAACAAAAATTTGTATACCATTAAAAATCAATGGCTGGTGTATTTCCAATATAAATTCATGATTAGGTTGTAAATTGTAATATGGTGTATTATAGTATTTAGCATTATTAAATAAATATTTTTTTGCATAAGATAATAAAACAAATAATAGATTAGAAAGAACTAATCAAAAAATTACCCATGTAGTCTCAACATTTTCAAGACGACCAACTATTTCAAGGTAAAATTGTATTATAATAAATTAAAAATATACCTATTATTATGAACATATGTAATAATTTTATTATTATTGTATACGACTAGCGATATTAATGGTGGCCCTTAGAAAGGAAAGAAATTACGTGGCTATTAAGTGTTATAGTAAAACTCCAAGTTTTATTAAATTAACTAACAGTAAAATTAATGGCAGATTTTGATTCAGTGTTATGCAAACTATTGAATGATAAAAATATAAAAACGAGGTACTTTAGATATTAGCTTCAATAATCCGAAGTATTCTTAGTTCTAAAGTAAGAATTTAAATTTT